AGACTCGTCTCCCACCGTCTCTCAGATCAGCGCGGTGAAGGAGTACTGCCAGAGCGTCAGCCCCCCGCTCATCCTGTGTGTGGAGAACTACACCAGACTACACCCCACACACAGACCCATCGACAGTGAGTACACACACACACACACACACACCATACACAGACTGGGGTTGTAGAGTGCAGCTGTGGTCAGTGTGGTGTTGTCGGTGCTGTCTGCATGTCTCCTCTTCACTGATCTGCAGTCAGCAGTGGAGCAGAGTGAAGCTTCATCAGCAGAGGAGCAGCACAGCACACACTACACACACACTGCACACACACTGCACACACACTGCACACACACTGCACACCAATCAGTCACAATCACAATCCAATCAGTTCCCTAGAAGTGGAGATGCACAAGATAAGAACAGAGCGACTTTAATCCTCTCTCTCTCTCTCTCTCTCTCTCTCTCTCTCTCTCTCTCTCTCTCTCTCTCTCTCTCTCTCTCTCTCTCTCTCTCTCTCTCTCTCTCTCTCTCTCTCTCTCTCTCTCTCTCTCTGTATGTGTGTGCATGCTTGATGCGTTTGTGCGTGCGCGCGTGCGTGTGTGTGTGTGTCAGGTCTGCACTGCTGTGACCGGGCTGAGGAGGCTCACTGTCAGCTGGCCTGTAAGCGTATCCTGCGCACCCTCAGCACAGAGCAGGAGATCATGGACGGTCTGATCAGCGAGTGTGGCAGTCAGCCGCTGCCCCAGGACCCGCTCTGGCAGTGTTTTCTGGGCAGCGCTCATCCGCCCGCCAACACCGACCCCGAATCTCCACCCATCGCCAAGATGGACAGCGCCAAACTGCACTGCTGCTTCAAGGCCAACACCAGCATCTGCAGGTCCACAGAGCCCTCCCTTTACCCCAGAACAGCAGCTTTAACCTTACTCTAACGTTCTCCTAAAGTTATTCTAACGTTATACCCCTAATGCTAGAATAATGTACTATTTACATTAAAAAACCTTCCAAAATAGACCAAACCTCACAGCTGCTAACATTCCCACACCTCTGCAGGAGATCCCCTGATGGTATTTACAGAGCTGTGAGAAACTAAACACTATTGGCTGTTTTTAAAAGGGGAGGAGCTACTGTATGCCCCGCCCTCTCCTCAGATTAATGGAACACTGAATATAACGCACACTTCAGAGCACCTCAGCACAGCTGTCAAATGCAGAGGCAGTGTTGTAAATGCAGACTGTGTGTGTGTGTGTGTGTGTGTGTGTGTTCAGGAACATGTGTGTGGAGATCAGCACCAGCTGGGGCACGCAGAGCTGGCAGGAGTTTGACCAGCACTGTGAATATAACCCAGTGGAGATGGACCTGATCACCTGCCTGGCGGACGTCAGAGAGCCCTGCCAACTGGGCTGCAAAGAGCTCAGCTACTGCACCAACTTCAACAACAGGTCAGACACACACACACACACACACACACACACTGCAGCTACAAAACACACATTAAACACACACTGCGGCTTCTGAGCGTCCAGCGTCGGTGCCGTTGGCTCTCCGTGTGGCCAGCAGTGTTCTCTGTGGGCTCCAGATGTGGACAGTGTGATTGATGATGATGCTTTGCTGTCAGAAAGGAACGAGCGCTATGATTGGCTGCTGGTTTCCCTCCGCCGTTTGCCCAGCGCCGACTCCTCGATCCCAGGAGCCCTCGCAAGAGTTCAGAAACAATGAGTGCGGCTCACACAGAGAGAGCCATAACCGGATGATGAAACAGCATGCCACACACACTCACACACACACTCACACACACACTCACACACACACACACACACACACTCACACACACACACACTCACACACACACACACACACACACTCACACACACACACACACTCACACTCACACACACACACACACACACACACACACACACACTCCTGAGGCCTTCATGTCTGGTGTGGATTCTGACACAATCATTCAATACTGAGTAAACAGAGAGTGAGGACGCAAGACTCTTAAACTCGCTCTGAACCTTCCCCTTCTGCTAATGCAGTCAAGACATGATCAAAGCAGAGGCGAGGTGCGAAAACACACACACACACACACACACTGCTGAGTTATGATGTGCGCCTGGCAGACCGTAAAACAGATGAAGAGGGACTGGAGGAGGATCCTTCATCATCATCATCATCATCATCATCATCATCATCATGGCAACAACCCAAACTCCATAGCAAGTTGCTCAGCATAAATGAACAGACACTGTGATAATGACTACTTTAATCTGTTTCTCAGTGAATGTAGAGGATATATTTGCATTTAAACAGGACAGTTTATATATACTGTACACTCACCGGCCACTTTATTAGGTACACCTTACTAGTACCGGGTTGGACACTTTCACTTTCAGAACCGCCTTAATCCTTGGTGTTGTAGATTCAGCAAGCTGCTGGAGATATTCCTCAGAGATTTTGCTCCATATTGTCATGATAGCATCACACAGTTGCTGCAGATTTGTCGGCTGCACATCCATGATGCCAATCTCCCGTTCCACCACATCCCAAAGCTGCTCTATTGGATTGAGCTCTGGTGACTGTGGAGGCCATTTGAGTACAGTGAACTCATCGTCATGTTCACCAGTCTGAGATGATTGAGCTTTATGACATGCTGCGTTATCCTGCTGGAAGTAGCCATCAGAAGATGGAGACACTGTGCTCATAAAGGGATGGACATGGTCAGCAGCAATACTCAGGTAGGCTGTGGCGTTGATGCTCAATTGGTACTAATGGACCCAAAGAAAATCTCCCCCACACCATTACACCACCAGCTGCTGTAGCCCATCCGCCTCAAGGTTGGCCGTGTTGTGTGTTCAGAGATGCTCTTCTGCAGAGCTCGGTTGTAGCGAGTGCTTATTTGAGTTACTGTTGCCTTTCTATCAGCTGGAACCAGTCTGGCCATTCTCCTCTGACCTCTGGCCTCATCAACAAGGCATTTGCGCCCACAGAACTGCCGCTCACTGGATATTTCCTCTGTGTCGGAGCATTCTCTGTAAAGCCTAGAGATGGTTGTGCGTGAAAATCCCAGTAGATCAGCAGTTTCTGAAATACTCAGAGCAGCCCGTCTGGCAGCAACAACCATGCCACGATCAGAGTCTCTTAAATCCCCTTTCTTCCCCATTCTGATGCTCGCTTTGACCTGCAGTGTGTGTGTGTGTGAGTGTCTGGATGGTGTGATGAATGGCAGTGGGGGTACAGATGAGGCTCCCCATGATCTGCAGTTCAGAAAAACAAGTGCTGGCTTTGATTTCTCTGAAGGATTGTGGGATTGGTTGGTGTGTGTGTGTGTGTGTGTGTGTGTGTGTGTGTGTGTGTGTGTGTGTGTGTGTGTGTGTGTGTGTGTGTGTGTGTGTGTGTGTGTCGGCTCTCCTGTGGGTTTCAAAGAGCTCTGAAGGCAAACAGGAGAGAGAGAGAGACAGACAGTAGACTGTAGACTCACCCACAGCGGACCTGCAGAGTCCACAGCAGTCAGTACAGCTCTGGGGCAGCCGTCTGACACACACACACACACACACACATTTACAGGATCACACACACACACACACACACACACACACACACACACGCACACGCACGCACTAGTGTCTGCTTTAGACAGTTACACAACACAAGCAAACTTGCAGCATCATCATCAGACTCGCTGTGGGATTATGCTCAGTGTGTGTGTAAACTCATCCTCATGGTGTGTGTGTGTGTGTGTGTGTGTGTGTGTGTGTGTGTGTGTGTGTTGTCAGGCCGACGGAGCTGTTCCGCAGCTGTAATGTTCAGTCTGATCAGGGTGCGCTGAATGACTTTAAGCTGTGGTCCAATGGAAGCATCCGGATGCCGCTGATGAACATCCCGGTGCTGGACATCAGACGCTGCCGGCCCGAGATGTGGAAGACTGTAGCCTGCGCTCTGCAGATCAAACCCTGCTACAGCCGATCCAGAGGCAGCGTCATCTGCAGGTACACACACACACACACACACACACACACTCATGCATGTCTGTTTCTGTGTATGTGTGCGTGCGTGTATTTAATGTGTGTGTTGTTGATGTGTGTGTGTGCAGGTCAGACTGTGTGGAGATCCTCCGTCAGTGTGGGGACCGGCGGCGTTTTGCTGAGGCTCAGACCCCAGAGCGCATCTGTGACCTTTTGTCTCCCACTGATGACCCGGAGCGCTGCATCCCTCTGAACAGATACCTGAGTGAGTGATTGACTGCTGTCTGTCAGCCAGGCTCCGCCTCCTCTGACCTCTGACCTCTCTGTCCTGCAGCTGCCAGTGAGTTGGAGAGCAGTGTGGAGGAGGTCATCCACCCCTGCAACCCCAACCCCTGTCCCAGCAGCCACCTGTGTCACGTCAACCGCAAGGGCTGCCATGTAGGACACGACTGCCTGCCGTACTACTGTGTGCCTGGTACAGCCCGCACACACACCCACAATCATACACACACACACCCACAATCATACACACACACACACACACACACATACATGCAACACAATCTCACATTTACACACACAAATGCAAGTTTGTAAATTAAATGTGATACTATTATTACTGCTGTCTCACATGTCATTTGTAATAGACTGACGATGACAGAGTCAGCGGTAACAGAGTCGACTTTAACATTCGACGATGACAGTTGAATATGACAGACTCGGCGGTAACAGAGTTGACGTAACAGAGTCGGTGGTAACAGAGTCTGCCGTAAAGGAGTCGGCGGTAACAAATTTGACAGTAACTAACTGAGTCGGCGGTAACGGAGTCGGCGGTAACAGAGTTGACGTAACAGAGTCGGTGGTAACAGAATCTGCCGTAAAGGAATTGGTGGTAACAGATTTGACAGTAACTAACTGAGCCGGCGGTAACAGAGTCGGTGGTAACAGAGTCTGCCGTAAAGGTGTCGGCGGTAACAGATTTGACAGTAACTAACTGAGCCGGCGGTAACGGAGTCGGCGGTAAAGGAGTCGGCGGTAGCATAGTCGAC